AGCTCAGAGCTCCACAAGGACAGGGATTTTGTTTCATTTTCTGCTGTGTCTGTGCACCTAGCTCAGAGCCCAGAACCCGTAAGAGTGGCGGAGATGTGCAGAGCACCTGCTAAAACCAGATGGTGCGTTCTAGAAGTCCTGGAGCACAGAGCAGGCTCCACTCGAAATACGTGATCTCAAGCAGGATGCCTCAGAACCCTCAGTGAGAGGCACCAGTCATGGCGACACACTGGGCTGACCTCCACACTTGTGTACACGTACACACAGAATAAGTAAAGTAAATGTAATAAAAATTTTAAATGAAACACACATAGAAGGTCAAAGTGTGTTTGGAAGGGGTGATATAGAGTTTTTCTGGACATAGCATCTGGTCCTGGTAAAGGGCAGGAAGGACCCTCAAGACATCTAATTTGACCCCTTCCTTTCTTTTTCTTCATTCTGACAGGTTGCCTCACCTCTGACCTCTGTTTCTCTGTCTGCAAATCAGGCTCCCCCGTTCCTCCTTGCTGATGTCCCACCACCATGAGAATTCAGGGCAGGGTCTCTTTAAAGTGTCCAGCCTGTTCTGGGTACCTAGCAATTTGAACAATTCTTAGTCTTAACATAATGAATCCAAGGGCAGCATGGGCTACATGAGACCCTGTGTCAAAGAAAAAAATGACAAGTAGCAAAGTGCCCTGTTCTTCCCTCAAGCTCTCCTGAGGATTCCAGATGCCTACCCCAAGAAGGCCATTGCACAATGTATAAACAGTTAAAGTGTGATAGCATCTCTGGGCAGGGAGATCTCAATTCAAACTCTGAAGGCAGAGAAAACCAAAGTGTTTAAGGACGGGCAGGTCCTGGAGTTTTCTCCAGCCAGAAGCCTATGTAAGCTGAGTTTAGTTGGCTGGGAAATTCCCTGTGGTCAACTATCCCCTTTCAACGGAAACGAAACTCAAAGTGAAAAGGAAGGTCAGAACTTAGGCCAGCAGCTTTGAGAGCCAGCAAAGCCTCGGGGTGGCACCAGCCTATAACCCCAGCCCTTCAGAAACAGTCCAGGGCTCTTGTTTGCCTCAGCACAGCCTGGCCTGTCTATCCTAACTGATCAAGATTATACTGTAGTGCAGCCTGCTTCTTCGTTCCTTTTTAAAAAGATTTATTTGATTCTAATTGTGTGTACGTGGAGGGGGGCGGCATGTGCTCATGAGTACAGGTGCCTGCTGAGGCCACAAGAGGAAATCAGATCCTTCTGGAACTGCAGTTACAGGCAGTCCAGAGGCAAGGGAATTGCCACGAGCTCAAGACCAGTCAGGGCTACATAACAAGACTCTTTCAAAAGTGAACAACAAGGTTAGGAAGGGCAACACATGGGTAACAGGGCTTCGGTACAAGCATGAGGACCTGGGCTTGAATCCAAAGAACCCACATAAAAGCTAGATGTATAACCCAAGTGTCTGTCTATGTCGCCAGTGCTCCTGTGGGAAGATGGGAGGTGAAGACCGAAGAATCCTCAGAAGCTCACAAGCCAGCTAGCTCAGTGTGCCCAGCACCGCACACACACCACACACACACATACACACACCACACACACATATACAGGAATGGACATACACACACACAGAGGAATGAGCACACACACAGGAGTGAACACACATACACACACAGAGAAGAATGAAAACACATGCAGAGAAATGAACACACACAGAGGATTGAACACATACACACACAGAGGAATGAACACACACATCCATGGATGTACACATATACACATACATATACATACCATGCAAGCACACACAAATACAAAAAAACCAAAAACTTATTTTGTTTAGGGTGTGGGGGAGCACTGTTGAAATGGTCTCATGTAGCCCAGGCTAGCCTGAAACTCTCTTTGTAGTAGAGGCTAACCTTGAACTTCTGGTCCTTCGGCCAGAGACATGGCTCAACTGGTAAGGATACTCAGGTCCTGATGGTGAGAACTGACTCCTGCAAGCTGTCCTCAGATCTGAACTGTCTTGTCATGGCGCATGCACATGCACACAATAAAAGTGAATGTAACTTTTCAAATAGTTAAACATGTGTATTTTATGTGTATGAGTGCTTTGCCTGCACGTATGTCCAAACATCGCATGTGTGGTGTCCATGGAGGTCAGGAAAGGGTGTTGAGTCCTCTGGGAGCTAGAATTACAGGCAGCTGTGAGCCACCGTGTGGGTACTGGGAACTGAACCTGTGTCTTCTGGAAGGGCAGAATGTGCTCTTTTTTCTTTTCTTTTCTTTTTTTTTTTTTCTTTTTTGGGTTTTTCGAGACAGGGTTTCTCTGTGGCTTTGGAGGCTGTCCTGGAACTCACTCTGTAGACCAGGCTGGCCTGGAACTCACAGAGATCCTCCTGTCTCTGCCTCCCGTGCTGGGATTAAAGGCGTGCGCCACCAACGCCCGGCTCAGAGCTGCTTCTTGAAGTGCCACACATCTCTTCCTGAACCAATCACTGACTAATGGAGCAGAGTGTGCTGGTTGGCCAGACCTTGTCTGGTGCCCAGGCCTTCACGCCCTTTAATGTTCCTTTTATGGTGACTGGGAACACAATCTATGTCCCCTCCCCCCCCGCCCCCATCCACTAAGACCCAGTTCTAATACCTTTCCCACCAGGCAAAGTCTCAGAGTTGAAGTGCTGGATTCTATTTATTATTTTGTAACACTTTATTATTGTGTGCATATGTGTGTGTAGGCCAGAGAACACGTGGCATTGGTTCTCTCCTACTATGTAGGTCTGAGGGATCAAACTCAAAGTCCTCAGGATTGACAACAGGTACCTTTATCCCCTCAGCCAATCTTTGGGCCCAGGAGGGTTTTTGGTTTTGTTTTTCAAGACAGGGTTTCTTTGTTTAGCCCTGGCTGTCCTGAAACTCACACTATAGGCCAGGCTGGCCTCAAACTCACAGAGATCCACTTGTCTCTGCTGGGATTAGAGGCGTGCATGCGTCACACCACCTGGATGGACCTAATAGTTCTCAAATGGATGCTTTCAAGCTCCATTCTTTTCTTCTCCACTAGATGATACTCGAAAGTTTCCCATGGTGTACCCAACTCCCCTGCAAGGAATGTGAATGAACTACTTTTGTTATTCCAGGCTTTCTTGGAACTCACTGTGTATGTAGCTCAGGTTGGTCGTGAACTCTGCCTCAGCATCTGAGTACAGGCTGCCATGTAAATGAGGTTTTGTCAGTGAGATTTTCAGAGGCCTCTTCCTGAGCCTGTAGCAGCTGACTAGCCAATCCTGGTAGATGGGAGAGGCATGGGACAGGCTGTCCACTCTCTCTCTTGTCCCCAGTTCGGAGGGTGTTGGGTAACAGGGCCTCAGCTGTGGTGATAGCAGAACAATGGTAGTTTGGCAGTGACTCACTTCCTATATTCCTGATGGTTCTAAGTGTCTGTGTCTCACTATTAAGCCCCTTTTTGGCTAATGTTAGTGGAGTGTCTTTGACCAACTGAATGAAGGTCTGAGCTTCTCCTATGTAGCTTATTGAAGAGTAATTGCCTGATGGAGCACTTCAAACACTTAAAAAACTAACAGAACCCACTAGGTACTGTAATTAAAGGCACCTCAGAGTGCCACACAGACAGGATTTACTCTCTGAGGCAGTAGTGTCTAAGCGTAGAAATGAGAACTCAGCGGTGCACACTATAATTCAAGCATTAGGAAGGTGGATGAAAGAGGATCAGAAATTCAAGATCACCCTCAACTATGTAATGAATTCAATACCAGGAAGGACAATATGAAACTCTGTCTCAAAAAATAGAAAAAGAAGCAGGGTGGTGGTGGCACATGCCTTTAATTCCAGCACTCTGGCAGGCAGAGACTGGCCTGGTCTCCAAGAGCTAGTTCCAGGACAGGCTCCAAAGCTATACAGAGAAACCCTGTCTCAAAAAACAAACAAAATAAAACAACAACAACAAAAAAGAAAAATAGCCAGACAATGGTGATGCACGCCTTCAATTCCAGTACATGGGAGGCAGAGGCAGGTGAATCTCTGTGAGTTCGAGGCCAGCCTGGTCTACAGAGTGAGTTCCAGGACAGGCAAGGATACACAGAGAAACCCTGTCTGGAAAAAAAAGCAAAATAATCAGGGCATGGTAGGACTGCCTTTAATTCCAGCACTTGGGAGGAAGAGACAGCAGACGTGAGTTCCAGGCAAGCCAGGTCTACATAGCAAACACACCAAGCTCCAGGACAGCCAGAGCAACGTGGAGAAACCTTAGCTTAAAAGAAATAGAGACAGAGACAGGGAAGCTAGCCTGATGACTAATGAGTACCTTGCTCAATCTATCCAGTAATAGCTGGAGGAGAGCACTTTTTGTGAGCCTCATTTACAGAGGAGGAACTGAAGGGTGGAAGGGTTATGGAACCCGCATGAGCTCACACCACCGATTTCTCATGAACTAGATGAGACTGTGACTCTGCTCCATGTGTCTCTTCCATCCTTGCTCCCAAGCGCCTAAGCAAGCACTCAGCACACCCTAAGTGTTTGATAAACATTGACTGAATGGATGAGTGAATAGTCTATGAGTTCAACAGAGTCTGCTGTTATAACACAAAATAATAACAAAAACTCCAAACATTAGAACTACATTTTCAGGTGATATCCTCCCTGCCCTCACACACACACACACACACACACACACACACACACACACACACACACACACACACCAGACCTCATGGGACAAACTTCATAGAGCAGAGAATAAACACTTTGGTTTTACGGGCTGTATAATCTCTGTCACAATCACTGAGTTCAGCTAAAACTGCCACAGAGAATATGTACATGCATGTGTGACATACAACTTTATTTACAACTTTTGCTTCCTGCACTCAGAATGAGTCTAATTGCATAAAGCTGTTTACTTTAAATGACTACACTTAGTTAAATCAAAAGCCTAAACCAGGACGGGGGGGGGGCTCATGCCTTTAATCCCAGCACTTGGGAGGGAGAGGCAAAGGCAGGCAAATCTCAGTGAGTTCAAGGCCAACCTGGTCTACAAAGCAAGTTCCAAGACAGCCAGAATTGTTACACAGAGAAACCCTGTCTTGAAAAACAAAAACAAAACAAAAGTCTAAGCCAGCGCAAGCCTCCTTCTTCCCACTGCCTACTGATCTGGATGCAAACTCTGAGCTCCTTCTCCTGCACTGTCTGCCTTCATGCTGCCATGGTGATAATGAACTAACCTCTGAGTGTGTAAGTAAGACCCCAATGAAATGCTTTCTCTGATATGAGTTGTTTTGGTCATTTAGTCTCTTCACAACAATAGAACAATGACTATGACGCTTCAAATGTCCCAGTGTTTGATCTGCAGGCAGGAGCTCAGCCCACGTTCCAGCATCCTACACAGATGAAGGGATCCAGCAAACATTCCTCATTCCTGCCAAGTGGAGAAGGAATCCCTGCAGATATCCATTAGTACCACCCAAAGATGGCTTCTGAAAGCTCCTATAACAGCCCAGAAAGGAGCTGGGGAGCGCTAAGGATTTGGTGGGCTATGGCCAATTGGGCAGATCTGCCAGTGGCCAGGCAGTTTCACCAATAGATGCACTAGGTAAAACATGGTTTAAAGGGTCCAGTAAGGGGACTGGAGAGATGGCTCAGCAGTTAAGAACACTGGCTGCTCTGCCAGAGGACCAGGGTTCAACTCCTAGCACCACATGGCAGCTCTCAACTGTCTTTAATTTCAGTAGCAGGGAATCTGATACCTTCATACCAATGCACATAAAATAAAGTTAAATAAGTTACAAAAAGAAAAGATGCTTGAGATATGGTTGGAATGTACTAAAGAGACAGAATCCGTGCCTAGCATGCACGAGGCCCTAATCTTAATCCAAGGCCATAAAAAGAAGAATTAAAATTAGATACTTAATCAAGGCATAGTGGCACATGCCTTTTGTCCCAGCATTCAGGAGGTAGGGAGGCAGAGGCAGATGGATCTCTGTGAGTTTGAAGTCGGCCTGGTTAGTCTATGTAGCAAGTTCCAGGCCAACCAGGGTACGTAGTGAAACCCTGTGCCAAACAAATAACAACAACATAAACAAAATAAAACTATAGATGCTTGAGATCCAAACAATATTGATTCCAAATGAGAAAACACAAAATTAATCAATGACCAAATAAAATGTCTAGGGGAAAATGTATTAGGCCAACTAGCCACTTGCCTCTGCTCTCATATAGTTCCATGTATCAAACGGGCCATATGGAGGGAAGTGATTTTCTTATGCTTTATAGAATATGGAAGAGGCCTGAAAGCCAATCAAGGACCCTGGGCAGCTCCTGAAATGGCTCCAAATTGGTGAGTTGCTAGAAACTCCTATGGGAAGACTCCTATGCAAGCTGCCTGCTGCAACTGCTGGGCTGCCCCCCCCCCAGCAGCAGGGTGCGGCTCTCTCTGTGCCCCCCAGCAGGGTGCTGCTGTCTCTGCTGGCCCCCTCCTGAGCAGGGCTCTGCTATGCCCATCCTGACTCTCAAGAGATGGACAGAATTCAGATGTCATCATCTGATTTGAAGAAAGGCCACAAGTAGAAGCCTCAGGCATCGTGCTGTGATAGGTGTCATAGAAACAGCGTCACTGGCTCAGGAACGGATAACAGCTGTGTCAGCTTTCCCTTACAACTACAGGCACTCCAGGAGTCTCTGGGGAGATCACTGAGCCAGTCACACCACAGAACTGGGGACAAGAGAAGGAGCCATGATTGCCACTAAGCCCCAGGCAGGATGAGAGACAGTGAGTAAAATGGGGATGGGGGTTGGAGGGGTGTTGGGGTCTTTCTACATTTATTTATTTTGTGGACAGGGGAAGGTTGGGGTGTGCCTCGTTGCACTTAAGGAGATCAGAGGACAACCTGTGGGTGTCTGTTTTATCCTTCTACTTATAGGTCCCAGTTTTTAAACCAGGATTGAACTCAAGTTGTCAGGCCTGGCAGCAAGTGTCTGGACCCACTAAACAGCCTTTCCAGTCCTGAGTTCAGGACATTTTTGTTTTGTTTGAGACACAGTTTCTTTAATAGGCCTCACTGGTTTGGATCTCACTCTGTAGACCAGGCTGGCCTGAACTCACAGAGATCTGCCTGCCTCTGCTTCCCTAGTACTGGGATTAAAGGCGTGCGCTGCCACACTCAGGGAGTCCAGGATCTTAATGTCCCTGTCAACACAAAAGCACAAGGCTCACCTAAGAGAGATGGACAAGTGACCATGGCCCAGGAACATGGACCCTGGGTCCCTTTGAACACCATGATCCAGTCAGCAGTGTTTCAAGCCGACCTGTAGAGCTGTGCAGTGACACTGTCTCCAAAAAACAATTCCATTGAGTTTTATATTTACAGGGAAAAGTCATAAATCAAGGTAGAAAGGTATATGCAGAAATCTCTATTGTAGGCCTCAGATGCTATCTCGTGACATTCTCAGCTTTGAGTCAGTGAAAGCTAGCGGTGTGTTAAGTTACACACAAGTTTCACAAGACAGTCACAGGGACGTTAGGTCACACACCCGGTGGGCAATGAATGCCTATTGAAGGCACTGAAGATAATTTGACTACAGATTGGCAACACTGTGACTCTTTCAATCTAAGATATGCTAATCAGTGACACCAGCTATTTGTCTGATACAGGCGTGGCATATTGGCTTCGAGGCTTCCTTTCTAGGAACTTCACAGTGCCAGAGCCCAGCCCTGATTAGGCAACTCGAGGGTGGAGGGTGTGGGTCGGGGAGATGGGGGTGGGGGTGGGAGAGATGGTGGAGGTGGGACATGGGGGTGGGGGGTTGGGTCGGGGTGTCTCCTGTTCCGGTCCTGTGTTCTTTACCTGAGACCCTAAAAACTAGAACGGTCAGACAGCAGCTCATGAACCTACACACCCAGCATACACGTGGGAGTTGTAGATAAAGAAAGTGGCCCGAGAAGGAGGGGCTGCAGAAGGCTGGCTAGCAGAGTGAATAACTTCCTGAATGGATGGAAATTTCTTTTATAGAAGGAAAACTAGCCAGGGCTTGTGGGTGTGTTGGCTCCTGCATGGGAGCCACAAAAAAAAAAAAAAAAAAAAAAAGGAAGTGGAGAAAAACAGCTGGATGGAGTGGTCACGTTTGTAGTAAACATGATCGGAATACACTGAACACATGCATGGAATTATCAAATATATATATTTAAATTTTTATCTTTGTTGCCTTTTGATATTTGTTTTGTTTTTTGTTTGTTATTTGACACAGGGATTCTGGAACTTGCCCTGTAGATCATTTTAGCCTTGAACTCTACGATCCACTTGCCTCTGCTTCCAGAGTGCTGGGATCATAGGTATGTGGTACCATGCCCAGCTTTTACTTTTGTTTTATTTGTTTGTTTGTTTGTTTTGTTTTTTCGAGACAGGGTTTCTCTGTATGGTTTTGGAGGCTGTCGTGTACTTTTGTTTTAATTAGCAAAGTTTCCTATAGTCCAGGCTAGCCAGAAGAAGAAGAGGAGGAGGAGAAGGAGGAGGAGGAGGAGGAGAGGAGGAAGAAGAAGAAGAAGGAGAAGGAGAAGCAGAAGGAGAAGAAGAAGAAGAAGAAGAAGAAGAAGAAGAAGGAGAAGGAGAAGCAGAAGGAGAAGGAGAAGGAGAAGAAGATCATCATCATCATCATCATCTTACTTCCAGGACAGTGTTACCAGGGAGAACACGCCCACCATGCAGCTGTTCCCTCAGCTCTTTTGTGGACAACTGGGAGATTACTGGCCTGATTGTCTATGCAAAAAAAACCTTGGTCACCTTGCGCCTCACCCCACCCCTCCAGCAGTTTGGCACTGCCGCCCCAGGATCTACAGTTCCAGCCTCCCTGTTCCAGACGCCGATCTCTTCCCTGTGGCTCCAGAAGTCATCAAAACCTGGAGGCTTGGTCCTGTGCAAATAACTGTCTGTTCTGCTTAATCCATCTGTTGTCAGTTGGTACCAGCCAAACCTCAGAGGATGGAGAGAAAACAACCCTCCACCTCCACAGTCGAAACACAAACTTGCCACCGCCCCTCCTGGTTCTGTCCTCTCAAACACACCCATGCCATCTCAATAGCCTTAAAGGTCTTAAAACAATGAGTTCCCAAGGCAAAGTCCAAAGCCTCTCATCTAAATGTCATGCCATGTCAGGTAGGCATGGCTAAGACTCTGGGCATGATTCATCAGGAGACAATGTGTTCTCCAGATGGGAGCTTGTGAGGTCAAGCCTGACATGTGCCATGGCTCAATGAGCACAGGCTAGACCCTCAAATTCAGGAAGGGAGAAAGCCCCCAGCAAACCTCAAAGCTTACAGTTGGAAAGTGTTCAGCTACCAGCCTCTGCTGTCCAGGTCACGGGGCCAGTTCTGCCTTTGCAGTTTTCCTTTCTGGGCAACAGTTTGACACCTGAGGCCTGACAGCCGCTCCCCTGGTTTTGCTCATCACTGCTTGCACATAGCTCGAAAGAGCCACGGTCCTGAGTCACAGGCTGGAATGACACTTGGGTGGCTGGCTACCACAGGCTGGCTGGGCAGACTCAGGGAGCCCGTCTTCCACACCTCTACCTGTAGGAAAAAAGGAACCAGCCAAAGAAACACATCTTGAGCAGAGCCAAAGAAACACACTTTGGCCCTGCAACCAGAACCAAAGAAATGCACCCTGACCCTGAAACCAGTGCCAAAAGAACACACATTGTCCCTGGAATCAGAGCCAGTGAAAGAAATACACCTGGCCCTAAAATTGGAGCCAAAAGGCTAAAAAGGATCAGAGAAAGAAACACACTTTGGCCCTGAAACCAGAGCCAAATCTGACCCTAACCCTGTGCAGAAAACTAACCAATCCTTGAGCAGGAGCTCTAGCCAATCTGAGCTCAGCATTGAAATCGGACCAATCCCCACCCTTAGAAGCCCTATATAAACCCTGTGTCTGTTCAGCTTATGGCTGTTTGTACTACCCAGCTGTCCTCTGCCACTGTGTCAGAGGGCAGCCACTCTCCTGGATTATTCCCTCCCAACAAACCTCTTCAATGAGCTTTGGGTGAAGACCTTCTTTTGCATGGGGAGCAGAGACGACCCTGGGCAGAGCAAAGCTAGCAAGGCTGTAACACTTTTGCCAGGGAAACCTTCCCCTGGCAGAGAGGAGTTGTTACACTCTGCTCTCCACTCTCCGGGAGCAGAGCTGAACTGTAGCAATTTCGCCCGGGGAACCTCTTGCCTGAGCAAAACTGCTTCTCTGGGCAAACATCCCCAACTGGAAGACCCTCCTGCTGGAGCAGAGTGGATACACTGGGGAAGCCTTTCCCTGAGGCAGGGCTGTAAGCTGCTACACTTACTGATAGTCCTTGGCTCCCGAGCTCCAGGATACCTTTCCATCTGAGCTGTGTAACACTCAGTATTCTGTGACTCCAGAGTGCCAGAATACCTGACCCACCCGATCCACCCAAAATGCCTACACTGCCAACATGGGGGCTTTGGTCCTGCAGCTGTTTCTTTCCAGGGGTGCCACACAGCTTTGGGGACATTCTTTAAACTCCAGGCAGAGGCCACCACACCTCAGAGTTTTTCTAGGCACAGCAAGAGCCACATCAAGGCATGCCCTGAATGGCTTTGGAGGAAACCCTCTACCCACAACTCTGGCATTCTGGGCTGGTGATGGGAAGTGCACCCCAAGATCTAAAAGTGCCTGTGGGTAGTTCCTTCTTCATTTTCTTAGACAATGAAGCCAGAACCTGGCTTCCATGAAGATGGGAGAGGGCTTTGTACTGTCTGCTTATTCAGTGGCTGTTCCATCACCCTCTTGTCTTCTCTGAAAGAAGCTTGCCCACTTCCTCCCTCCTTCTTCCCTTCCTCCTTCTGTCTGTTTCTCTCTCTCTGACAGGGTGTCATTCTAGTCTAAGCTGGCCTCAAACTTGTAGCAATCCTCCTGCCTCAGCCTCTCAAATTTCAAGGAATACAAGCTTGAGCCACCATACCTGGCTCAGCTTCTCACTTTTCCCCAGTGTAGACAGACTCTGAATCTCCTGAGTGTTGGAATTCTGCTTCCTCTGACCCACAGCTCCCTGGGAAACCCACACACACACACCGCCATACGGCCTTTGCTTCTGAACTCAAGAAACAGCAAGCCACAACTTCCATGCTCTCCTAAGAAACAAGCTTGGGGAAAAACTCCAACTCATAAATTGTTGCCTTTAATCCCAGCCCTCCACTCAGTAGGCAGAAGTAGGTGGATATCTGAGTTCAAAGACAGACTGGTCTACAAAACAAGTTCCAAGACAACCAGGGCTACACAAATTTATCTTGTTAAACAAACAAGCAAAACAACTTGTGCCTTGCACAGCGCTTTGATGTGAACACTACCCAACCAAGTTCACAGCCTCCTAATGATGAGGATGACTTTTCCAGTTTGCATGGACATGTGTGGCATCAGGCCATGCTCACATTGTCACTCATTCTGTTCTCTATCACACAGACTTCTCTAAGAAGTTGGGGGTTGGGGACAGTGTTTGTCATAGCTCATGGGGCACGTAAGAACTGTCCACAACTCTCTCCAGAATCACCTTTGAAGCTGTCTGTGGCTGTGTGGTCTTGCAATTTGAACCTCAGAACTCTTTCAACTCCCAGCCTAAGGATTACAAAGTTGCTATGTTTCATTTCATATTATTTTAGTTGTTATTTTGATGGAGACAGGGTCTCATGTAGCCTAGCCAGGCTTCAAACTTGCTACATAGCTAAGACTAACCCCGGATTTCTTTTATTCTTATATTTTTACTCTATTTGTGTTTGGGGGGTATGTGCATACCATGGCATGTGTGGCAGTCAGAGGACAATTGTAGGAATCTGTTCTTTCCTTCCACCATGTGGGAGATCAAACACCGGTCCGCAGTCTTGGTGGCAAGAACCTTTACTCACGTTAGCCGGTTCACCATCTCTGACCTTGAATTTCTGATCTCCCTTCCTCTACGCCTGGGATTACAGCCCTGCACCGCATGCCCAGCTCGGAGTTTCTCATCTATTAGGGCAACCTCTTCCCCATCTCTTGGAAGCAACTTCTAGCCTTAGTCTTTCTGGCTGTGAGGGTAGCTTACAGGCAACAAGAATTTACACTTTTTACCGTCTGGGCAGTTGTTTATTTGGATTTTTTTAAAAAAATTTGTTTTTGGACCATGGTGACACATGCCTTTAATCCCAGTACTGGGTTTAAAGGAGGCAGAGGCAGATGGATCTCTGTCAGTTTGAGGCCAGCCTGGTCTACAGAGTGAGTTCCAGGACAGTCAGGGCTACAAAGAAAAACCCTGTCTCAAAAATCACCCCCCAAAAAATGATTTGATTATTTTTATTTTATGTGTATAAGGGCTTTGCCTGCATGTGTGTATGTGTACCACCTGTGTGCAGTTCCTATGGAGGCCAGAGGAGGGCATTGATTCTCTAGAACTAGAGTGACTGATGCTCGTGCCGCCACATAGGTGCTTTTCGAGAACAGCAAGTGCTCTAAATTGTTGAGCCGTCTCTTCAGCTCTCTTGTTTAGATTTGAGTCAGGTCCTCACTCTCGGGTCTAGACTGTCCTGGAACCATGTAGCTCAGGCTGGCCTTGTGCTCACTATAATATTGCTACCTCAGCTTCCCGAGTGTCAGCATGACCTGAACCATCACAAGCAGTTTCACAACTCTGCCCTGCTTCTCTGGTGGAGACTGAGCCTCTAGATTTATTTATGGAACAACAGGGTCAATGGTGGATGTCGCTGTGGTTGAACGGGTGCTTACAGTGCACAAGGTTCCAGGTTCTATTCCCAGCACCACTTACAGAGTACAAGGTTCCAGGTTCTATTCCCAGCACCACTTACAGTGTGCAAGGCTCCAGGTTCTATTCCCAGCACCACTTACAGCGTACAAGGTTCCAGGTTCTATTCCCAGCACCACTTACAGTGTGCAAGGCTCCAGGTTCTATTCCCAGCACCACTTACAGTGTGCAAGGTTCCAGGTTTTATTCCCAGCACCACTTACAGTGTGCAATGTTCCATGTTCTATTCCCAGCACCAGAAGAAGAAAACGACGAGGAAGAAGCTGGGGGGGGGGAGCACAACAACAATGGTAGCATCTAATACTTTTTTATCTAATATTTTATTATTTATTTATTTATTTATTTATTTATTTATTTATTTATTTATTTTGGTTTCTCACTTCTCTGTGGCTTTGGAGGCTGTCCTGGAATGAGCTCTTGTAGACCAGGCTGGTCTGGAACTCACAGAGATCTGCCTGCCTCTGCCTCCTCCCAAGTGCTGGGATTAAAGGCGTGCGGATCTAATATTTATTGTTCCAGACACACCAGCAAACTTGTAACACAAGTACTTCAGTCCACGTATTGCATGCACAATACATGTTACTGCGTGTGGAGGAGTTATGTGCAGGTGCTGTTCCCCAGGAGTTGTCATCTTTGCTTTTTGAGGCAGGGTCTCTCACTGGGACCTAGGACTCACTGCTTAGGCTGGAGAACCCCAAGGGTCTTCCTCTCT